TTCATCAGGAAAGCCAGCATGATGAGCTCCTCCAAAATAACCAACAGCTCCCCACAGCCTCTTTCAGCTCCCCACAGCCTCTCTCAGCTCCCAACAGCCTTCTTCTTCTCTAGGTCTGTCTTTATGCTGTTGGCAACAGTCCTCAGGTGGGCCTCCCACGCCCAGCGCCACACTTACTCAGTTCAGCTGGGAGTTATAAGTTGACCACCAGTTACTGATCCACTACACACTGCATCCCTGTTCTTTCATGCCTGCCTAGGACTTTGAGGCCATATTGTGCCTCTAGAATCCTTTCCCTTTTGGCCAGGGTGCCTAGACTGCTTTGGGAGCAGGTTTCCAGGGTGGTGGTAGCCTGCTCCTCATCCCGCCTGGCTCTTCCCCCACAGCTGCTGGAGTACTTGGGCAAGGGCAAGAGCATCGTGGATGTGGGGCTGGCCCAGGCCCGGCACCCGCTGAGCACCCGCAGCCACTACTTCGAGGTGGAGATTGTGGACCCTGGAGAGAAGTGCTACATTGCCTTGGGCCTGGCCCGAAAGGTGGGGACGAGTGCTGGTTTTTTTAGCTGAGGAGCTGCTCAGCTCTGGGGCTGTAGGCAGTGGGCTGGGAAGCTTCTGGGAACCTTGGAGTGGGGACACACAGCAGTGTGGAGGCTCTGAGGCTGAGACAGACAATGGCTGTACAAAGCCAGGTGTAGTGGCGCATGCCTGTAATCCCAGCACTCGGGAGGCTGAAGCAGGAGGATCATTGTGAGTTCGAGACCAGCCTGGGCCACAAAGTGAGCTCAAGACCAGCCTGAACTTGCACAGTAAGACCCTTAAAAAGACAAAAAAAAAGATCACAGATTCAGATGCCAACCTCTGTGTGTGTTTTTGTGTGTGTGTGTTACTAAGGATCAAACCCAGGGGTGCTCTACCATAGAGCTGCATCCCCAGACCTTTTACTTTTTAATTTTAAGACAGGATCTCACTAAAATGCCCAGGCTAGCCTTAAACTTGCCATCTTCATGCTTCAGGTTCCCAAGTGCTGGGATTACAGGTGTGCACCACTATGCCCCGTTTTGTCTTTTTTGTTTTGTTTTGTTTTTTTAGACAGCGTCTCACTGTGTAGTCCAGGCCAACCTTGAACTTGCTTTGTAGCCTGGCCTTGATTGTGATCCTCCTGTCTCAGCCCCAGCTCCCAAGGGCCAGGACTGCAGTGCACCACCACAGCTGGCCTGTCCTCGTTATTATATGTGGTCCGGTAGATTTTCTTTTTTCTTCTTGGCACAGGACTATCCCAAGAACAGGCACCCTGGCTGGAGCAGAGGGTCTGTGGCTTATCATGCAGGTGAGTAGGTGGCTGCCCCAGGAACGTGAGTTGTAGGGGAAGGAAGAGACACAGAGACCATTTTCCTGGCCCCTCATAAATGGCCTCTTTTTTTTTTTTTTGAGACAGGGTCTTGCTATGTAGCCCAGGTTGACCTTGAACTTGCCTCCTGGATGTTTGGGTCACATTCATGCACTACCACGCCGGGCCTAATAAATGGCCTCTTTCCCCTTCCCAGGCTACTTGTGCTTTCGCCTCATCTTTGTTTTCCTCCCAGCCTTGAAAGCCAAGGAAGCAAGACGGGGTGGGAGAACTGGTCCAAACTGGACATTCCAGGCCTCTGAGTTGGCTCCCTGTGCGCCCTTCCTGCAGATTTGCAGATTCTTCATTTTCTTTTTTTGGTCTGCTTGATTTCCTTTGGGGCTTTCTTGAGAAGAGGCCTGAGCCTTGGCTCCTGGTACCACCCCTCCCCTCCCTTGTGCACTCCCCCTGCCTGTCCTTTCTTCTGGCCAGTTTTCCCTTGGGCTGATGGATATTGTGTCCTTCTTTTTGAATTGGTACCCCTTCCCACATCGGTCTCCCCACTCAGGGTACACTGTCAGCTCTCTGTCCTCAAGTGTATCCTCTCCCCTTCCTCCAACAGATGACGGGAAGATCTTTCACGGCAGTGGTGTAGGGGACCCCTTTGGGCCACGCTGTTACAAAGGGGACATTATGGGCTGCGGAATCATGTTCCCCCGGGACTATATTCTGGACAGTGAGGGTGAGTGGGGTCTGGGAGCAGCTAGGCTGCTCAGGGGCAGAGTGGGGGACACCACAGGAACTCCGGTTTCTGGTTTTCTAGGGGACAGTGATGACAGTTGTGACACAGTGATCCTATCCCCGACGGCCCGGGCTGTCCGGAACGTCCGGAACGTTATGTACCTGCACCAGGAAGGGGAAGAGGAAGAGGAGGAAGAGGAAGAGGAAGAAGATGGGGAAGAGATAGAACAGGAGCATGAGGGCAAGAAGGTGGTGGTGAGTAAGCAGATGACGAGGCTTGGCCTAGGGTTTCTGGGGGCGCAGGAGCTGGCAGACAGTGGGAGCAGGGCTCTGCGCCAGCGTAGGCCAGGGCAAGCGCTGGCAGGAGGCTGTTTCCCAGGCTCAAGACGCCCTCTCGTGGTCGCTTCCCATATCACCCTAAGTCTCTTCTCAAGCCCATGCTGAGGGCTGAAGGTGAGGGGCTTTGGGCCTCTATGACTCCAGCATCCTCAGAGGAAGTGAGCGTCTGCTCCATTGTTCTGCCTCCACCTCCAGGTTTTTTTCACCCGGAACGGCAAGATCATTGGGAAGAAGGATGCTGTTGTACCTTCTGGAGGCTTCTTCCCCACCATTGGAATGCTGAGCTGCGGGGAGAAAGTCAAAGTAGACCTGCATCCCTTGAGTGGCTAGGAGCTTCCCCTCCACAGCTGCCCCTTCTCCCTCTGCAAGGCCAGGTGCCCAGTTCCTCACTTCCTCCAGGACTGCTTGCCCAGTGGGTCCTGGGGGTGTGTGGTCACTCTGCCCTTACCAGCCCAGGCCCTATCAAGCTCTACCTTTCTGACCTGGTGCCACCTTTATCATCAGTTTTGGGCCTGAGTCCCTGGCTGGATAGGAATGGACCCAAAGAATGGTGTTGATATAAGGGGGGTCTTCTTTGCTTTGGCCCATGGGCACCTGGATGCCCTTCACTGGCCCCAGGCAAGTGGAGAGGAGTGAGCCCCCTGCCCCCCAGCTGCTATTTGGGCATGAGCTTTGCAGAGGGTAGAGGAGAGTCATCCATGTCCCCTACTTACCACAGTATTTCCCATGAACTCTGTCCCGTCCTCATTGTGTGAACCAGTTGCTGCTGTCCTCCCCCTGGCTGGGCTAGGGGGCCACCCTTGGGCCCTCTCTCTCTTTTACTGGCTGCTGCCCCAGTCCTTTAGGGTCTCTTCTCTCTCTTGAGAGCTGGCTTCCCCCTACCCGACCCATTCAGGGGTCATCATCCCAGAGAGCCTGAGACTCTGGCTCCCCCACCTGGACACATACTGGTGGCTGCCCGGGTTGTGTGCAGCAGGGAAGGCTGTGACTGTGAAGTGGCATGGGCCCGGGGCCTTTGCTCCTCTCCCTGCCCAGCCATGGCACTGTTATCTCTTAACTCCCTAGAGTGATCTGAGGCTCTGGGGCATGTCTCCTGCTGTGGTGAGCCAGCCCGGAGGGGGCGTGGCCCCTCGCTCTTTTCCTGCCCCATCTCTGCCTACCCCACGCTCCAGCTTGCTGCTTGTGCCAGTTGCCTGTTTGCTTCAGTGTTTGACGCTAGCACTTACGTAGACTCCCATCTCCTTGTACCCCTTGACCCCTGAGCCCACCCCGTAACAGTGACTTCTGCTGGGTAAGCAGAAGCAGGAGCCATTGGCTTCGGTTTGCACAGAGTGGGTAGAGCCACGGGGAAAGTGGGTGCACTGTGGTGCTCCTGGGGCCCCTGTGGCCATCCCTTCAGGCCCTGCACTATGATGTATGAAATGTATGTACAGATGAGAGATGTTTATACAGCCAATAAAGACAGAGTTTCCATATTTATCAGTATGGCCAGAACGGGAGTCCTTTCCAGGGCCAGAGGGTGGGGGGCAGCTGAAGGGGGCTTGCTCCAGGGCAGATGTGGACACTTAGGGCAGGGATGGATGATACATGTTCCATGGGCTGGGGTGCTCCCAGCAAGCTTAGGTGTGCTCCTGGGCAGAGGAGGCTTTGACCTTCCTGTGGGTAAGGTCTCAACTCCAACGAAAGTTTGTAGAAATTCTTTATTAGACAAAAATAGACTCTCTTTTTTTCCCCTATCCTTGTGTTCCCACTCTGATCTCTGCTTAGAAGGGAGGTAGAGCAGGGCATGACTTGCTCCCCCCGCCCCCATACCACCATGCTGGGACCTGCAGCTGGGTGGAGCTGGCAGGGCCTGGTCCCCCTGCAGGCTGATGTTCTGCAGGTGGGGCTGTCGTGACCCCCTTCAGGGCTTATGCCTCCGCGCCCTTCACATGCCCGTCTCTGCCGTCTGCTCACATGCCAGGTCATCTCATGGGCTCGTCCACTTAGCTTAGCAGGCTGGGTGGGGAAGAGCAGTGGTCCAGGAGGGTGCCCACTCCCCTCTCTTCGGGGAGGGTGCTCCTGGGGCACCTGGTCCAGGCCAGGGGAAGTGAGGGCTGTGGGGTGCTGGGAAGGGTGCAGTGTTGACGTGGGCTCTGAGCTTGTGGCCTTCCTTCATTTTCGCTGGCCCAGTAGAACTTTGGTGATGAAGGTGACAATGGCGCCTGCAGGTTGGTCTGGGTCAAGCTCCGCAAAGAGGTGGCACACATTCTCCCAGGGGCTTCCTGGCTTCTTGGCCACAAAACCAAAGATCCTGGAGGAACAAAGGCAAGGTGGGGTGGGGCCTTTGCACCCTTTCACAGGGGACTGACTGGCCATGGGAAGGCTGATCACTGGGGCTGAGGAGGATGGAGGTGTCACGTGCCTGGGAGGGAGGGAGGGAGGGGCTGGGCTCACAGGGGAGGCTTACTTGGAGGTGGTGCCATCTGGGTTGGTCCATCTGCAAGAGAAGAGGGCTGTGAGAGAGTGCAGCTTGGCCTGGCTGCTAGGAGGTAGGGAGGGCTGGGGAGGGAGCTCCCTCCCCGGGAGCCTTCATTTCAGGGAGCAGGGCCCGGCTGGCAGGATGCGGGGCTGGGGAAGGCGTGGAGGGAGGCTCACCTGTGGTCCTGAGGATCGGTGCTAGAGAAGGTGATGCTGCTCACTGGGTAATGGCGGCGGAAGAAGAGCCTGGGAGGAACAGGAGGGTAGAACGTTCACACTCAGAAACCCCCGAGGCCCTCACCAGTTTGCGGGGCAGGCGCCCAGACTCACTTCCTTTGGTTATCCGTTAATGTGATCCCCTGGGCTGAGACCTTGAAGTGGACCACAGCTGGTGTTGGGCGAGGGCTGCAGCTCAGAGCTGCAGAGCTGGCCTTGGCCACGGCTTGGGGGCCTGTCAGTGACTCTGTCTCCACTGAGGTCAGGTATAGCACACTGCAGGCTAGAGGGCCAGGAAGCGGTCAGCGGTCAGTCAAAACCCCGTGGGCTCCCAGCTGCTTGGTTGCCTCCCACCCCCATCAGCTCTCGCACTTTCCCCAGCCAGCGATGTCAGAATGCGCAGAAATCTCACGGGTGTCACTACCTGCGCCTTGACGCAGGAGGTCTGCCGCTGTGCTCATGTTGCTGGGCACTGAAGCCTCCGGGGCCTCTTCCAGAGGGTCTGGGGGAAATGAAGGCCCATGGGGAAAGTGAGAAGCGGGAGGAGCATTGCCTAGGAGCTAGAGCACTCCCGCTGTCAAGGGAGAGTTGGGAGCTGGGCGCTCTGGATTCTTGGCTAGAGGGACGGGGAGAGGTGAGGAACACAGGTTACCCACCTTTACTGGGAATGCACAGGCAGCAGGGCAGGGAGATCGGGGAGATGGAGTGCTGAGAGACCAAGGCGGACAGGCTGCCTGTGGGAGAGGAGGTAAGAAAAGTCATCACTGCCTCCAGCATTCCCTTCCACCCTCCTCAGCTCCCTTGGCTTCTCCCACAGCCAGCCTGGTGGAACCTGCCCCAGGCTCAGGCTTCTCACCAAAGTAGGGCTCGCTGGGACAGCCCTTGATCTTCACGCCTTTGGGCCCAGTCTCAATGAGGAAATGGCGGACCAGCTGTTCCGAGGGGTCCCCTGACGTGAGGGGAGAGGAGAGTGAGGCTTTACCAGATCCCAGTCCTCAGCTTCTCTGTTAATGGGACTCTCCTGAGGAGTAGGTCTTTTTCTGCCTCTCCACAGATGTGTGCCCCCACCCCCACTATCTGGCCTCTGCAACTTCTTCCCACCTCCTCCAGCCTCCCTTGGTCTTAGGCGTCCTGTACCTTTCCAGGGCTGGGCGCTGGGTGGAGGTGTAGCCACCTTGAGGGCCAGCCCATAAGCTCCTTGAAATGAATGACTGTCCCTGATCAGGAAGGCTCCCGGGTCCTTGTCCTTCAGCAGGGCAATGGCTGTAGGGTAGTGGGTAGGGGTCAGAGGGAGGAGAAGTGTGTACCATGGCTGGCTGAGCTGCATGCAGTTTCTAGGCCTCTCTGGCTGCTGTAAGTGTGGGAAGAGTCTGGGGATAGAAGCTTATCATCGATTGGTTCATGGATTGATTGCTTTGAGACAGAGTCATACTGCATAGTCCAGGCTGGCCTCAAACTTGTGACCCTCCTGCCTGAAACTCCTGAATGCTGGGATTACAGGCGTGTACTGCCACACCTGGCCAGGGACAGAACTTTAGGGAGTTCACAGGAGCTATGACAATGTTGAGTCCAACCTCCTTGGGCCCAAAGCCCAGAATCACCTGCTGGTGAGAGGTTTGGCCAAGGTAAACAAGCTGAGACAGGAGGAGCCAAGGACTTCAACTAGGGTTGGATTTACAAGCCAAGACAGAAGCCCTGGAAGTTGGGGCAGGGTGGGAGCAAGCCAGCTTCTTACCTTGGTCACGGGACAGGTGTGGCTTGTACCAAAATTTGGACGTATCCTGGACGAACTTGACATTGCTTTGGCTCTCTTGAGCAGGGGGCTCTAGGACAGTAAGGAGTGAGTTCAGGTCCCAGAATTCCCCAGTCCCAAGTTCCCCTCTCAGAGAATGGGTCTGCTCGTGGTTGCCCCACCCTCAAGGCCCTCATACCTGGGGGTTGGGTAGCGTTATCTGGAAGCAGAGGTGCAAAGGTGACATGGTGACTGGTGCCTCTAGCTGGTGGTGATGCCTGCTCTAGGCCCCAGGATCCTGGCTGTTGCCCATGCCCAGGGAGGTGGCGTTTTTCAGGAAGTGGAGGCTGAGTGGGGCCGTTGGTCTCATAGGACGTGGCCAGGGGAAAGGCAGGTGTGGGTGAGCTCTGAGGTGGCTCTGGGCTGGCCACGAGCCAGGGCATCTGTGTAGGCACAGGGGTGAGGGGGGACCCATCTGGGCTGTCTGGGGGGCCTCGAGGTCCCTGCCAGGGGGCATGGCGAAGGCCAGGCAGCGTGGTGGGCACAGGACCCCGAGGACTGGCACTATCTGAGTGGCCGCCTGGGCTCCTTTCCTGGGGCCAGTTGTTGGGTGAGCTGGGAGAAGAGGTTAAGGAGAAGGGGCTTGGGCCCCGAGGCTCTGGCCCGCTTCTTGCTGGCTGCTCAGGAGCCTTCTCAGGGCCTCCCTGGGAAACAGGGGGCAAGGCCTCGCTGGGACTCAGTCTCTGAGTGGGTGCCAAGGTGGGGGGCCTGCTGTCCTGTTGCCGGGTGCTGTAGGGTGGAAGGACAGATAGTCAGCGGAGCCCTGCTTGAAGCTCCTACCCCAGCACTGCCTGCTCGGACAGAAAAGCGGCAGCTTAGCCCAGCCCCTCTGTGTACCTCTCCTTGCCCTGGACTGGGCTGCTGGTGTGCAGGGGCGTGGAAGGACCGGACAGCTCTGAAGGGGCGCTGCACTGTGCATCTCGGGGGGACCGAGGCAGTGTGCTGTGCCCACTGGGGCCCTCCCTCCAGGACAGTGGCTCAGGCGACTCTGAAGGAAAGGAGGGGCGGTAAGCGGGAAGCGGCTCTTGTGTATCTGACCAAGTATTTCACACCCTGTACCTTCTTTCTCAGCTTCCCCGGATCTTCCAGACCCCGCCTCTGCCCTAGGCATGTCCATCTCAGTGACCCTCACCTGTAGATGCCAGAGGTCCTGCTGAAGCTAGTGGGTATTTGTCCCCTCTCTCCTCCACGGGGACCTCGTAGCTCAGCTTCCTGGGTTGTGGGTAGGGTGGGCTGCCCGGGGAAATGGAGCCAGCCCGTGGTGAGTGGGCACCAGGGCTAGGATGCCCTCTGCCCTCACCTGGAGATCCACATCTGTGAGGTACTCGGCCATATGCTGGGCAGTAACTGGGAACTGCTCCTCCATAGCCATACGTCATCAGGGCAGGGTACCCTGGATGCCCATACCTGCCTTCAGGGCACAAGGCATAGGAGCAGCCTTCATGAGCTTCTTCGGCTGCCTTGGGTGGCTTCAGGCAGCTGTAGTCAGGCATTGGGGCATGGTGATGCCCATAGGCTGGCACGAGGAGAGGCAGTGTGTGCCCAGGCCGCACTGGGTGCAGGAGAGGCTTACCAGCCTCACCGGCCCAGCCCTCTCCAGCCTCCCTCTCCAGCCGCAGTCCATAAAGGGCTGCTGTGGGTAGTGCCAGCTTCTCCTCACAGGCTGGGCAAGAGCATAAGGCAGACACCCCAGGGTCCTCCAGGATCACCACCTCCCGGTAGCCTGGGGCACGGCAGCTGAAGTCCCCATTGGCCGGCTTTGCCAGCTCAGGTGGGTAGGGGTACGGCCCCTCAGACAGCGATCTGCAGAGGCGCCTCTTCTCCACAGAGGACTCAGAGTAGCCCTGGGGGGGACCTTCACAGCTCCCGTAGGGCAGCCGCCGCCTCTCCAGGGTTCCTTCTGGCCGGTAGTAGCCTCCATTGGGGACCCCGCAGGGTTCCCGGTAGGCCTGGCGGCAGGAGCAGTGTCGGCTGAGAGCAGGCCTATGGGCTGGGTACATTCCGAGGTGGGGGCCTCCACCCACACAGGGCTGCTCTTCGTCGTCTAGGATGGCTGTCTCTCGCCCCGCTCCCCGGCTCCCACTGGCCACTCCACAGCCTCCCAGGAGGCGATCCAGCTCCAGCCGCTCCGCAGCCGTCGGGGGTGGCCGGCCAGGGGACTCAGCAGTGGGCTCTGTGGTCAGTGTGGATGAGTGACCAGAGTCGCTGCTGACAGAGAGCATGGGGGGCGGCGGTGGCTCTGGCGAGGGAGCTGGTGGAGTCTGACGGGGGGCGCGCTGCACCTGGGCATAAGGGCTGCCATCCAGGGGTCCCCGCGTGTGGGTCAAGGAGCCTGAGTAGGAGAGGGGGCAGAGTTAATGAGCAGGGACACCCACCCTGGAGGTTCCAGTGGGTGCTCCCTGCTGTCTCAAGAGGGAAGTCTTTCTGGGGAGGAAGGCGTGTGCTCCCCACTCCCTGCCATGGCCCCACATTCCCACCTGCCCCGGGGCCACCCCACATACTGTCCACGCTGTCCTCGTGGTGTTGGTTGAAGTTCTCGTAGGAGTCCCAGCGTACAGCAGGCTCCGCGGTGTTGTAGTCCACAGAGACCGAAGGGTCATTCCGTGGGGTGTTTCCTATAAGGCCCACCCGGGGGTTGAGACACTGGGACATACAGCCGTCAGCCCCCCAGCCAAGTCCCCACTCTTACCTTTGATCTTCTCGGGGCTGGAGGAGAAGACAAACTCCACAGAGGCCTGGAAGGGGAATCTCTCATCTGTGGGCAGGGACAGTGAGAAGTCAGGCCCCGCCCCACCCCCCTTTTCGGCCTGCTGCCGCCTGGCCGGCCTCACAGGGCTCCAGCTCCGTACCACTGCCCTGACTCACCCGCCCAGGCCTCGTCCAGCTGGTCCTTGGGGAAGGTGAGCCGTGGTCCATGGATGGTGCATGTGTGGAACTGAACTCGGAACACGAGAGTCCGGTCTGTCCCCCGGCTACCCTTGTGGTAACAGGTTACCTGGGGGAGGGTGGAGGTGGACAGTCAGGCCTTCATGTCCACATTGTTCTTCTGTGCCTCTGCCCTGGACACTGCCTGGCCAAGCTTCTTCCCTGCCTCAACCTCAAGGTGACCACTCCATCTGGGGGGTTTCCCTTTGCCCCTCCAGTCTGCCAGGTGACTACACAGCCATCAGGACACCCCCACCCCCGACCCCTTCCTAGGCTCTCCTTGCTGCTCGGACCCTCTCACCATAACATCGCCTTTGAGGAGGAGGGCTGGTTCCAGGTTGATGCAAATCTGCTGGGGACCAGGGCCTGAGATGTGACTATGGGGCAGAGAGAACTAAGTCAGAGGCACTGGGTGAGTACAGAGGTGGCTATGCAGTCGCAAGGGAGCTGGGAGATCAGAGTGAACATGTGGGAAAGATAGTCAGCTGAGCCTCAGCCTGCCCATCTCTAAAATGGGTTCTATGGTGGTGGTATTAATTTTCAGGTATAGTGGCTGGAGCCAGGTCTGGGTAGCCCAGGCCTGAGACGGCCAGAAAAATAGACATCCAGGGAGCACAGCAAGGAGGCCCCAGCCATGGAGGGTCAGGAGCTTGCGGGCAGAGGACTCACTAGACTCCAGATGTGTAGACGAGCTGCATGGACTGGTATATTTTGAGGAAGGGCTGGAACCCTGGAGGGACAGAGTCAGAGAAAGTGCATGATGGGCGCTGAATGGAGGGAACGGGGGTGGCCTTCCCACTCAGGTGGACTCACCTGTGCTGGGTTCAAAGGCTGGCAGCATGGGTACCAGCACGTAGTGTAGGAAAAGAGGGCTGCTGTTCATCCGGATGGAGCCAGACAGCAGCCCGCTGAAATAGCTGATGTACCTGGTGGGAGAGGATCCAGGAGAAGTAAGCGCCTTCCTCTAGAGGGCTCCTTGTATCACCTCAACCACCCGCACCCTCCACACAAGCCTTCTTAGCTCTTCCTGCCTTCCAGCTCCCTGGGAAGTTCTTCCTTGCATCTACTCAATCTCTCTTGCTGCTGCAAAGCTTTTTTTTATACTTGCCATTCCCTCTGCTTGGGAGGCTAGATCTCTGCGATCTCTGCTTTGAGTTACACTGGCAAGCCCTGCCTAGCTCACAAGTCTCTTTCTCACAAGGCCTAGGTTTTCTTCTTTTTTTTCCTTCTCTTTTCTTTCTCTCTCTTTTTAGGTACCAGGGATTGAGCCAAGGACCTTGTATATGCTAGGTGAGCACTCCACCACTGAGCTACATCCCTAGCCCTTTTTATTTTTTAATTTTGAGACACAGTCTCACTAAATTGCCCAGGCCAGACTCAAACATGTAATCCTCCTGCCTGAGTCTCCCTCATAGCGGGGATTACAGGCATGAGCCACTGCACCAGGCTTGGCTTCAAAGAATTTTTTTTTTTTTTTTCGTTTTTTTCCGGTACCGGGAATCAAACTCACGACCTCATGCTTGCCAGGCAGGCGCTGTGCCACTGAGCTAAATCCCCAGCCCCACAGAATTTATCTTTATCCAGAACAATCTGCTGCTTCCCAGGCTTGGCTTCTATGCTGCTAACATATCAGCTCCGTGACAGCAGGGACCTGGTTTGCTCTGACTTCTCAGCACTGAGGACAGTACCTGGCACACAGGAACTGCCCAGTTAAGGTGTGCTGCAGGAACGAGAGAACACATCCTCTACCTGGTCAGGCTACTTACCGGCTCTGAGAGGGCTGCAGTTCTGTGGCCACCTTGTCCTCACAGAATTTTCGCATGGTGAGAGTAGCCAGTGCCTGGTCTGCCCTGGAGAGTGTGGGACCAGGTTGGGGGTTTATGGATAATTTTGTCCTGGCTACCCATCCCAAAGTCACAGGGAAGGAGGAGGTCCAGAGCGGTGACGGAGAATTAGAAACACCATAGAATAGTCACTTGACTAGTTGTTGGGCTTCAGGCAATTGTTCCCTAGACTTTACTTTTCTCATCTGAAAAATGGGGCAGTGAAACTAGGTTATGGGTCAAATTGTGTCTCCCCGCCCAAAGATATATACCTCGGAATGTGACCTTATGTGGAAATAGGGTCTTGCAGATGTAATTAGTTAAGATGAGATCATGCAGGAGTAGAGTGGACCCTTAATCCAATTCGATTGGTCCTTACAAGAAGAGAAGAGGCATCGCTCCTTGGCCTTTTGGCTAAGATCAAGCACAGAATAGAAGAGAAGACACACAGAGACACCACGTGACAACAGAGGCAGAGGCTGGAGTGAGATAGCTGTAAGCTGAGGAGAACCAAGGTTGCTGCCCCTACCAGAAGCTAGAGGCAAGGAAGTGTTCTACGCAGTCATAGAGAGCAAGGGTCTGCCGACACCTTGATGCCTGGATTTCTGGTCTCAGAATCAGGGATTCTGTTACTTTAAGCCACCCAGTATGTGGTACTCTATTATGGCATCCCTAAGAAACTAACACAAGTCACCTGTTGGAGACTCGGGAAGTACAAGCCGTAAAAGGAGGCGAGGCATCAAGTTTACAGTGGGGTGCTCTGAACACATAGGCAGCCTCCTATAGGAGCTCAGGACAGCCACTGGGAAAGTGGTGCTCAGGTGACAGGCCTTACCCTGCAGAGATCTTGCTGTAGTGCATATAGGCGGAGACGATGACCCCAAGCTTGCCCTTGCTCCCCTGAGAGACAGAGAGACAGGGATGGAGGGGCTGTGGGGCCCCAGGCTGAGGGGGCCCTAGCCGTGACCCGAGGCCCCAGCCCACCTTGCAGTACAGTACGACCACATGCTGCGCGTCAGCGCTGAGCCACGTCTCCATGGCTTTGCAGATGGAGCACAGTTTGTCCAGAGGTGGGGCATGCAGCTCAGGCCAGCCAAAGTCCTGGACCTGCGGACACAGGGCGCAACGAGAGGGGCAGAACAGAGAGATGGGTGGGGGTGCAAAAGGGACAAGAGGCAGGGCTCTGGGGCAAGGTCAGGGGCCTGCTAGCTGTCCTCAAGAGTCCCAGCACTTTCTGTTCAAAAATCGTTTTCTTTTGTTTTTGGTCTATTTATCCCGTGGTGCCCTCACTTTCTTTACACATACAGTGGGCTGCTGCTCACGTTTTGGGGGGTCTCAAGTGATTTCGGAGTCATGTGGAGGAGTGCTTAACAGTGAAATGGATGCCAGCTGCTGCTATTAATAACAAGGGGGCTGGGGTCCTCTCGGGCTCCTTTTGGTGGTTTGGTTTTGTGGCTGGGCAGGCCATTTCCCCCTACCTTGGGGTTGAGGCGGGTCAGGTCATGTCTTTTCTCTGAAAGGTTGAAGAGCTGAAACGAAGAGGAGGGGCTTTAGATGAGAGTGACCTCAGACACTGAGGCGCACGGAGGTGGACCTTCACTAAGAGTCCTTCAAAATAAGGAGGCAGGGAAGGCTGAGGCCCAGGATCCGCCCTCTTCTTCTCGGCTCCCGGCGGAGCTCTGGCCCCGGCCCCGCCTCGTCTGTCTCGCCTTCTGGACTGACGTCAGCGAGTAGCCTCGCCCATCTGTGGACCTCCCAGCCCTCTGATTGGCTGACTCTGGCCGGCCCCGCCCCTCACCAGGTACTTGTCACGGTGCTTGGATTGAAGCACGTGGGCCAGCTCTCGCAGGTGGCCCCGGTGTCGCTGCTCGTCGGGCCGAGCTGGGAAGGCTGCGGCCAAGATGCGCTCCGTCACATAGGTGAGGTCCAAGTCCCAGCGCCGCTCCATGAGCGGGTCCAGGCTGAAGCTCCTGGAGAGAGGCGAAGCGACCGTAAGGGATGCAGGGGCAGGGTATCTCACACGGGGGTTCGGCCACTGAGCCCCGAGGGTGGGTGCGTGCGAGGGACGGTACCACTCTGGGCGGGGGCTGTCCCGGGAGCTTTGGAGGGGGCACTGCCCTGGACAGAGGTGCGGGGCTGGCGGAAGGGGTCACGTAGGGCCACCCCCGCCGCACTTACCTGGGCAGAGTGCTGCGCTGCTTTGAGTGGTTCAGGGACTTGGTGGATCCCTGGTGGGTGACAGATCGTGACTTCCATTGGGTGCCCCCCATTTTAGGCTCCTCGTCCAGAGTTCCATACACAGTAATTCTGTCCTCAGGAAAACTAAGTCCCTCATCCCACAGCCACCTGTCCCCCTCCCCAGCATCACCTTACCAGGTGCTCTATGCGCCTTACTGGGGCCGTGTTTCGCCGCTAGAAAGAGATGGGAGGGGAAAGGGGAGTGGTTAGCGGGGTGGGGTGCGGGCTGAGGGGAGGGCAGGTCCTCCACCACCTGGGAGAAGAGAGAGAGGGCTCCCCTGAGCAGGCCCAAGGGAACAAGAACAGCGGAGGGCTCAGCTATTTTTTCTTTCTGGCCAGGATGACCGCTACGCACAGCACACGGTGGCCCTCTATGAGGTTACAGACCTCTGGACACCCACTCAGGGTCCCCTGCCTTTCCTACCCATCCAGCACACTCACCAGCTCCGCGGGGGGCAAGGCCTGACAGGACGAAGTCACCTGGAAGGGGATGGAGAAGGGGCTGAGCTCCTGTGAAGTGGGCTTTCCTGGGCTCCAGTTTCAGCAAGAAGGTGGAGGGGCTGCCAGCGATGGGCGCAGGCTCACGCTGAGGTTCCTCTATTTAAGGGAGCCTTCCCTCCGGCCTCCCAGTCCCCCACCCCTCGGTCCCCCACTTGTTGCTCTTGGCTCTCGGCCCCCTGCCCACACAGACCCCCATTCATCCAGCCTCAGGACAGGAGTTATATATAGAGCCATACAGGCAGGCCATGGCCAGGGGCGGACACTGGCCTCTTTCACCGGGAGACCCCGCCCCTGGGCACACAGCTCCCCGAAGTCAGCTCCAAGGACCTGGGGACCCCACCACCACCACCACCACCACCACGTGCACACTGCAGGAGGAGCACCAGCCAGCTTCCTCAGAGATGAGGCTGTCTCAGGTCCCCAGTGGGCCGAGGGTGCCATCTACCTGGGATGGTGGGAGGGCCCAGGACAAGACCTTCCCGGGCATCCTGAGGACCCTTCCCCAGAGGGAAGGCACAGCCCATCCGGCTGCCCAGTCTCTGAAATCCTGCTCCCTCCCCGCCCACCCCACCCTTCCTCCTCCCTATTCTCCTCCTCTTCCCCCCCCCCCCCCCCCCCCCCCCCCCCCCCCCCCCCCCCCCCCCCCCCCCCCCCCCCTCCCCCCCCCCCCCCCCCCCCCCCCCCCGTTCTCGGGCCAGCTGCAGCCTGGGCACAGCACCAAGACAAACGTGCTGCGTCTCACTGTCCACCCGCCCGGGCCAGCCCTCCAGGGGTGGAGTAGGGTGGTTCTTAAAGGGCCCAGCGCAGCATCCCTTGCCACCTAGGAGGGGGAGCCCCGTGATGAGTAGGGAGGCCTGGAGGGCCGATGCCAGTGTGGCTGGGGAAGCCTATTTGGGGAGGTAGAAGGGACTCCAGCACTCACAGATCACATAGAAGCACCATATACCTACCTTTGCTTCACATTTTCTGTGCGTAGCCACCTTGCAAACTAGAGGGGAGATGGGGAGGAGAGAGGTTAGCAGGGCATGGGGGCAGTGGAAGGGGCGCTCTCCCATCTCGCAGGCCCTAGAAGCAGACCCCGCTTCAGCTACGTTGGGTGGCGAGGGGTAGATGAGCGGGGGTGGGGGTGGTGGTGAGGGGCGAGTGTAGCAGTGGGTACTACTGCCCAGGCTGGGGAGGGCAGCCCGGGGTCATCCTCTAGGACCCGCAGCAGCGAGGGGAAGCAAAAGGGAAGCTCCCCGGTCACAGGTCGGGATGGGAAGCGGTAGAGTCCTGGGTCTCCTGGGGGGCACTTGGTGTGCCACGGGGAGGCAGGGTTGTCTCTTGGCTGCCCTGGAGTCCCTGCAGGATCAGCGCACACTAGAGTTTCCGTCATGTGGGTTGGCCCCAGGAGGCGTGCAGCATAGTGGTGCTGGGCAGAGGGTCTCGCAGCCACAGGGCAGAGGGCCTCACCTCTGCATGAGACGCCTGTCCCATCGATGGTCACCTTACACACCGCGCACACTGGAGCTTTCTTCCGGAAGACCTTCTCCCGGAAGCTGTGTGGCTCGGCTTTCCTGGGCTGTGGGTGGAGGGACAGACAGGCAAAGGCATGAGTTCCCAGTGGGCCCATGTTCAGGCCTGGGCAGTGGCCTGGCCTTGTCTCTGCACGGCTCTTTCCTCTCTTCCCTTCCAGCTCCCAGACTCGGAGGACACACTTGGCCACAGCCATATCAGGGCAGTCATGGGGCCTGTCCTCAACAGTGCCCGGAATGTGACCCTTGCGTCACCTTTGCTGGGTCAGCTCCTCCCCAAGGGATTGCTCAGGGTCCTCACGTGGCCCTGCTGTGTGACGCCCTTGTCACAGGGCGGGAGTGCGCTTCGCTCTGACACCGTCATCTTGCCTTCCCCAGATGGAGGGCCGTGTGTAGCATGAGTAGGGGTCCAGACACATGCGGTGTCAGCCACACAACGCCAGACTGAGCCCAGCCAGCCCCAGCCAGGAGTGGCCTCAGGCAGTCCTGGCTCCCTGGCTCCTGCTGTCCCCACACTCTAGGCAGCTGACATGCCCCCTCCCCCATGGTCAGAACAACATGTTTACTCTTTGTGCATTGAGGCGGCAGGCAGCAGTTGTGTGTGTATGTGTGTGTGTGTGGTGGGGGAGTGCAGTGCAGGAGAGAAAGGAATGACATTCGGAGGAGATGCTGAGCTGCTTTGAGCCCCTGGATGTAGTTCCCAGTCACTTCTCAAGTGGTATTCGTGAGGAGGGTGGACAGATGCCCTGCGTGGCCCCTACCCAGCCAGAGGCACAGTGAAGCAAGAGGCTGGGATTCCTGGCACCGCCCAGACCTGGCTCAGTCCCCTCCCGCTGCAGGTTCCCTCGTGGACTCATCTCAGGTTCTGCCTCCCATCCTGGTGGGGACACTGCCTTGATACCACTCTCTTCCCATTTTTCTCCTGCTGCCCAGCTCCGCTGCCCAGACCTTCAGGAGTACTAGCTCATGCTGTCCTGAGCTGCTTTTGGGTAAGGCTGGAAAGGGAGTGACAGGGACCCAGGAGCCCCTCTAGACTCTGTCCTTGGAACTTTTCTGGGCTGGGCCAGGCTGTAGGACCCACTAGGATATCTTGGTGCGCTTGGTGATCACAGCATGTGCTGTGGGAAGCCAAGCGCCAGTTTAAAGCACTCTGTAGAACCTGGGCTCCTACCTGCTGTTGCCACCCTCCCACGCCATTTCCCCCCACAAGATTCCCCGGCTAGGGAAGGGGCCTGATCTCTTAGCTCTGCTCTTTGGCTCCGGGATAGTCCCTGGCTCAGGTTTTGGGGACCAGGACCCCCAGGGCTGGCCCGAGCTGCAGCCAGGAAAGGAACAGAGAAACCGAAACAGATAGAAGGATCTGGTCCAACCCAAACATCTGTTCACCCTGCAGCCCTGCCACCCAGGGACTAGGGGAGCAGGGGCTGTGGGGCAAGGGGAGTGGGCCGAGGAAGCTGGAACTGGGAAGAGGGTCTGGCCTCAATCTGGCCCCTCCCTCCCCCACTGCCCGCACCTCCACCCCGCATCTTTGCCCAGTCACCAGACACTCCTACCCTGCTGGTGGCCCGGCTGCTGTCCCTCCGCCCCAGGGCTCTGAGCAGCCTCTCCACGGGGCTGCTGGACTTCATGGTGTCTGGCTGGTTGGGGTGCCGGCTGTGGGGCCTGAACAATGCTGGGGCCTGGCCTGGGGCTTCCTGGAAGCTGCCTGGTGGGAGGCAGCCGCTTCCCCTGGGTGGAGGGCAGGCTGTCTGGCTGCTGTGAGAAGGAGCCTGGCCCTGGAAGTGGAGGGAAGTGCAGGCGGGAAGGGGGCAGGTCGTAGCTCCAGGAAGTGGGGGGGGAGAGGATGTGGGGGAGGCCAGGAGATCAGATTCCCAGGATCTACCCTGCTGGGAGTGTCAGCCCCGGATCTTTCGCTTCCCAACACTGTCTTGGAGCTGCCCTATACCTGGTAATCCACCCTACCCAGGGATCTGCGGGGATCCTTGGTCCAGAGATCAGCCCCTCTGGGGGCAGGGTGGGAAATCAGGTCTCAGGGCAGGGCTCAAGGGCCAGTGGGGAACACTGTGTCCCAGCCAGCCTGAGCTTGAACTCTCAGGCTCCCCGGGGACTTCCCATAGGGAGGGAGTGGAGCTGGGAACCACTGCCTAGAGCGCTCCAGAAGCCAGTGTCCTGAGGATCGGGAACATGGGACTGAGAGGCAGCTTCCTGCCTCAACTCTGCTGGTTGTGAAGTAGGAAAAAGAGGATACACTGCCTGCTCTCACCCCCATGCACCTGCAAGGCCCAGTTCCAGCCAGAAGACTACCCTGCCCGCAAGAGGGATCCACTCTTCTGCAGCCCAAGAGAAGTGGAGACCCTGCTCCTGAGGTTCCCCACCTGCTCCGCTCCATGGTCCTTACTCCCATTTCTGGGCTTTGCTTCAGTCACACGTCACAGACCCCTAGCCCTGCATCCCAGACCCTGGTGCTGAGCACCCCGCAAGCCTGAGTCTACCTTCATGGCTCTCCTGGCCTTCCTCAGGGCCCTGCGCGCTGGACAGCAGGCTTCCTCCCAACATGCAGCCTACCCCCTCCAGGGCCTCCTGCCTCCCTCCTGGGAACATGGCCAACTTCCTGTCCCAGGAGTCAAGGGGAAGAGGTGGAGGGGGCCTTGGAAAGGAGGCAGTAATCCTCCTAACCCATACAGGTTAGTGACCTGGGGGGTTCTCAGCCCTCCCTGGACAGCAGCCTTTTGGGATGGCTGAAGCTGTCACTTGAGAGAATGTGCAGATGGGCCCCTTCACTTGCATGGTATTTACTGAATGTCCCAGTCTCAGGCAGCTCCCCCAGATCTGGCTTCTCCCACGGGTTCCTTCACCTCCCTCCATCCCCATGGAGGACTGGTCTAATCCTGCATTTCCTGGGCTGAGCCCCGGTGTGGGATCCCTGTTCAGACACTTCTGGGGACCTTCCTGGACTGGGCCTAGACTGCAGTTTCTCCTCCGAAGCTCCACTTCTCTAGGCCGGGAAGTCTGTGCCCAGGGAACCGTGGCCAGGAGGTGGCACCCGTGTGGCAAGGTTCAAGCCTCCAGCCTGTAACTAGAGAGGGCGCTGGCTCTGGGAATGACCCCCCCACACCCACCCCCCTCACCCGGCTGTGCTCCAGGGCACTCCAGGCCCCTGGTCAGGTGGGCAACTGGGCCTGGCCTGGTCCAGCACCCAGGCCTGCTGGGGAGAGATGGAGCACTGCGCTGGGTGGGTGAGGGTGTCCCCACTTCCTCCCCCACTCTTCTGGCACAGCCTTGAGCAGGACCTGTCTAGCATGCTGCTTCCTATTCCTGCTATCTCCAGAGGAGCCGAAAGTCCTGGCCCCTGGAGAGGTCCCCAGACAGCCTGCACTGGTCTCAGACCCTGCCCTTCCAGGCCCAGCAAGGAGGTGCCAGGCAGCGACTGCGGGGCGGGGGGTGGGGGTGGGACAGCTAAGTCGGTGATGCGTCCATCCCTGTGGCTTTGAGTCCCTTCTCGCCCTCTGCAGCACCTCAGGGGAGGCTGGGAAAGGATCCCTCAGACCCTGTAAGGAAACGCAGCTCACTTGCAGATGGCTGGAAAGGCATCACCAGACGCCCTTGGACACATTCAGCCGGCTAGGGCTAGGAACATTGCGAAGCCTGTCAGCCTTTCCCCCAGCTGGGCCCCCTCTTTCTGGGAAGCCCAAGCCCGTGGGTTTGTCTGCAGAAACCCTTCAGCCCACACCCCCCCTTCCTGGAAATAACTGTGGCTGGATGGGAGTTTGGGAGCGTGGCCACGGAGGAGGGGTGAGGCCCAGGGAAGGAGACAGGGAAAGAGGGCGGGGCGTGCGAGTGTGCCCGGAGGGGTCCGGGATTTGAGGGTAAAGCAGCAGAGGGACTGGTGTGTGGGCTGGGAAGATCAGACTCATTGGTGCTTGGTTTCGGCCTCAGTGTCCCAGGACACGAAGGAGTAGAGGAATACGCTCGCCCGCACACACTGCGGGGCCAGGGCCTGAGCACCGCTGCCAGCCGCAGCGGCCGCGTCTACAACGTGCGATCCGCGCCTGGCCTAGGGGTGGCGGCGCAGTCGCGGGAGGCAGTGCAGCCGAGCGCGACTGGGTGCGCGCCCGGGACGCGGGAAGGAGGGGCGGCCCCAGCCAGTGGCACCACGGCCGTGCCCCGCCCCCTGGTCACCTTCCCGGCCTCCAACTGCCCCCAGCTCGCTGCGGCCCGCCCTGGGCCGGGCTCAGCAGGAGGACCTGCCGGTCCCACCGCGCGCCTCGACCCCTGGTGCCCCCGCGCCCCCTGGCGCTCGCCCTGGGCACTGCCCGC